CTAAGCTGGCCACCTCAGTTTGCCTGTCCTGTTTTATATGTGGTGTCTCGTTTTTCTGTTTTGGTGTCCCTCAGGGAAAGGCCACTAGTTTCCGGCTGAAGCCAGTCTTAGTTAAAGCAAACTGAGGAAAAAAACCCTGTTTCAAGAAATAAACTTGAGAAGTAAATCTTGCCGCTTCTTCATGTGTCTGCTTACGCAGCGTTACCAGCTCTTGTCATTTCTGTGGTAATGCCATGTTCTCACATAGCTCGAACCCTCTTCCTCGGTCTCTTTCTGTTTTCTGAATTCAGAACCAATAAGGCTGAACACGATAAGTAAATACCATCTTTACAGCTTTTTTTGATCTGATGAACTAAGTCGAGGCAGGTTTAATTGTTGGCTTGGAGACCTACACAAAAAGCCCAGAAGCCACAGGAGATGGGGCTGCTGGGGCGGAGGGACACCCTGACTTGTTGGTCACCGGTGAGCGAGTGGCCCAGCACGTTGTCAGGGCTGTGGGGTGCTGCAAAGCTGTGGAAATCATTTTCTGAGGAAGACTGCTTGCTGCTGCTAGTGTTGCCTCGGTTTATTTCACACAATATGCTGACCAGGTTTCAGATTGAATATGGTAACGCATTTCAACTGGGCAGAATATAACTTTAAATTAGACCAATAGCTATTGCCCTTTCTCCCTTAAAAAGACTTAAGTAACGCATCAAACTAAAGTAAGATACGCATTTATTTTAAATCCTAGATGCAGAATGGTTACCGTGTTCCAGCAATGAAGTGCCTGTATATCAACATAGAGTGCAATAATCCCACTGTGCTTGTTTACTGATGACCTGACGTTTTGCCTGCCACAGGCCAAATCCTCGCCAGTGCTGCAGCTGCCCGGTGCTACTCAAGCGGCGCAAGTGGGTTTGTGAAGCTGGAGATTTCAGAATGTGCTAAATCTTCCAGCTAGCATACGGTCAGCAGAATTAAGCTTAATGAAAGTCTTTTTTTCAGCCCTGCCTTCACTCCTGCTTCTACCTGTAGATTGTGCTGCAAGAAATGGGGTTTGGCAAGAACCTTTGTTCTTTCGCCATAGGTGTGTTGCACCAGTGGGGTATTGAAAACCCAGCAGACATCAAACCAGAATTGCTAATGGAAAATCATTTTTTCCAAAAATTTCTTTTCTCACTTTTAAAGCTTTTGTTTTGTTAGTGTCTTAAACTTCCAAGTGGACAAGATAGTGTCTGCAGAGATTCAACAAAACAAGGCTCAGATTTAATGAGCATTATCTTGAGTATTTTATTTAAATTAGCTTTGAGTTAAGTATGACCAGCATTACTGGTGGTTGTTACACTGCATCATAGATTATATTAATTTGGATAACAGCCCTGTTCGGTACAGTGTTGGAAGTAGCATATTAACAAGTGTGTGAATTGGACTGTTTTCTGGTGGCTGTGAACAAGGGGATATATGGGTAGCTATGCATATGCTTAGTGGAGTTCTTTTCTGCATATAATTATGATTTTTGCAAGATGCTAGTCAAGCTTTGCGCTTAGTACTGCTGCAGGGAGCCTCTTTTCATCAACCGAGAACTCAGGCTCAAGAAGCTATTTCACAATTCTAGATTATTTATGGCAAACTTGTATTTGTTATTCTTGTACTGAACAGATCTTTCGTTGTTTTTCTGATGTTTACTCTCCTGATTTATTTAGAGATCAGTCCTATATCTCTTTTCAGCCTTTGTTTTTCTGGGCTAACGCTTCTATTTTTATTTTGTTTGTTAGTGGATATGATATTCAAGCAACTTGGTTTTCCTGAAAACAAAATCTGTCTCATCCATAGTCAGTGAAACTAAAACAAAACAGCAACAAAAAAGATTAAAGCTGGGCATATTTTCAGTGATTGAGGGATCACTGACTGACTGCTCAGCATCTCGCAGTGAATTTTGTGGTGATGATGGAAGTCATAGACAATATGTACTTTAATCTGCAGAACATGCGGCTCAGAATTCCCAGGGGCACGCACCTTTTCACATGCTGCTAGGCATTATCCTCTCTCGTTGGGGTCAGCCATTCCATAGCAGGCTGAGGACCTCACCAGGAATGCAGCGTTACATGAAGCGATACAAAAAAATCAGGGCGAGGCCTGTAAGTTATTGCAAGGCCAATTTCTGTACAAAGTGTCAGCGGAGCAAAGAAATTTTCTTCAGCTGAATCTGCTAGTCTGAAATTGCTCTGTAGGGTGTTTGCTGTACAGCTTTCAGCAGATTTCATTTGACAAACATCGGACTCGTTTTTGCCAAAGTTCATGGAGAAAGCCATGCCCAGCCTTTTTCTGCCCTCGGGGTAGCATTGAGAGCTGCCCATGTCCCAAAACGATCGGTTTATTTCTGCTTCTGCTGTCTTGATTCAAAACAACAAATGAAAGAACAAAAAATTGTTTGCTGCAGTAATTTCTATTTGTCTCTCTACTGCAGTGGAGAACTGTCTATAGGAAAGGAGGTATCCCGAATAAAGACAGGGGTTCAGACTCACCTTGTTACCTTGCTTATTTGGTTCAGAGATTACTCAGCAAATCTCCTCCTGTCTCCAGGGAAGCACCTTCCCTGACTTCACATAACTGGGGTGGTGTGTAAGGAGACGGGGTGAGTTTGGTGCTGCAGGTCCTGGGCTGGGAGGAGCGGCACCAAGTGCCCTCTGCTTCCCAGGGGCTGGGCTGCACCCGCTGCCTCTCGGAGAGGGTCCTGTTGGGGACCGCACGGGGAGCTCAAAAGCCTAGAGAGATAACTAAAATATTTCTGTAGGAATTGAGCGATGAAATTTCTGCTCATGGGGTTAAAATCCGAGCAAGCAGCTGCTTTTTCTCTTCTCTTTGAGCCTATCTAGCTATTACAGCTACCTCCGTGGTTGTATCCTAATGACTCCCAAGGTAACAGGGCAAATTCTAGACTAAATGTCATGAATTAAACCTAAAAAACTCCCAGAGTTGTCTTGATAACTTTTGCTGTAGCTGTGTGTATTTTTTTGACATGGTAGCGTACTGAATGCCTCCAGATTTACTGCCTCGAAGCTCCGTGTTACTCCATTCCGGTGCTTTATTGTGACTGCAGTTTGTCTGTCTGTGTATAAACTGGCAAAACCTAAGTGACCATGTGGGTTGTAGCAGGGCATGGTCATTCCACCCTAAACATGAATGCAGGACAATATGATAAGCAGAAGTATTTCTTTATGTCTTCATAAAGCCTGACAGAGTGTCGCTAGCATAACGTTAGTGACATTAGGATTTTGTTTCTGACTCTGGAGGGGCATTGAAAGTGGCACGTGCCTCACCTACAGTAGAGCCACGCTTTGGTGCGGGGCCCGAGTGATTTCCTTGTACCCGTGTGTCTAAATCGGAGTATTTGAAAGTCACAGGTAATGTTCTTGGGAAATTAGTGCTTTTAAATTTGTGCAGATAACCTTTGCATTTCCATGTGATCTTCTCAACTCCAGCCCTGAAACTGCACCCTGTCTGTCACTGCGTGGGGCGCTGAGGGTTCCTGGCGTACTTCACACGAGATGAAGGATCCCTCGCCGCGTGCGGCTGAGCTAAGGCTGGAGATCTCCAGGCTTCGCAGCTGCTGTCGTGCGGGTGTGCCGGGGTGAAATGGTGCTTTTTCTCCCCACCAGCCAGTCCATATTCGGAAGAATGACCGCTCTGTTTTCATGTCCCTCCTCTCGAACAGTTTTCTGTTCTTCCGAGATTTTGTAGCAGCCTGAGCCTTAACTCAGGCAAGTACTTAAGTAGGTGCCCAAGTGCCGTGTCCCTGGTAGTGTTTGAAGTCCTTCTAGGTGTGCTGCTGCGGGGTTGGTTTGCAGATCTTGCTGTCTGATACTTGGAGTCAGCAGGATGAATCCATCGTGGAAACCTCAAGTTTTCCTTCAGAAAGCCGATTCCAGTGTAAACAAAGCTCTTGCCACCTTCCATGAGAGTGGGTGTAAGCAGGGGAACGGCCTGACAAAACAGAGGTTTTCCTTCATCCCCTTGGGGCTGAACAAGGTGAGATGGGAGCCGCAGTGGCTGCAGAGACTGGGCCGGGGTCTTGGGCCGGGGTCTGTGCTCCCCATCTGCCCTGTCGCCGTCGACGAGCCTTGGACCTGCTTCGGTTCGCCCCTCAAACCACCTGTGCTGAAACCAACACAAGTATTTTTGGTGTAAAACTAACACAGGCAAGATCCAAAGAAGAGTCTTTTAAAAAAAACCAAACAAAACAATGTAGACTGAAAACGCTGAGTAGACGAGTGGTTGCTTACACAGTCAGTGATGGACGTTGTACCTTGTTCATCTGTGAAGCCGAACGTTTGTGGCTTGTCCTGGTTGCACCAGCAACTGGCTGTGTGTTTCATACCTACCAGTAAAATGAATGCATGTGACAGGTTAAAGAAGTGACCAGATGCTCATTGAGCTGTCTCTGTGCATTTAAAACTTCAAAATAAGTAGGAGAAACGTGTTCTGGAAATATTTTGCTTGTATAACCAACTCCTGAGAGAGCTATTTACGATTTTTCTACCTGTTCTTGGCACAGGCCTTTTTTTCTGTTAGAAGAGGTTTGACAGTTGCATGAGATCACACTTGGATTTGTGCCCTGCGAGCTAAAAACGCAGAGTCATTGCTTGCGAGGACAAGACTTCGCTGGAAAAAATAGAAACATTGCCCTTGTGTTCACTGGTAATAGTGCATCGAGAAGTGGACCTTCGTCAAGCTTTAGTGTGCCTTAATATTCATACAGTCGTTCCTTTTAGGTAGAGCACTGCTTTTGAAAAAAAACCAACAAAACAACAGATTTAGTAATAATTGTTTAGTGCCTGAGACATTCCTTTAAGACTTGTAAGTGACCAGCTGAGTTGAGCCGATAGCCTGAGTCGGTGCCTCTGGCTGTTTACAGCTGCTGCTCATCAACTTGAAGTAATTAATGTTATTGTCAAATGATGCTAAACAAATAGCCGAATCGCGTATTTTGTGCGTGCTCGTTCTCACCGGTGTGGGAGATGGCAGCGAGCGTGCGCCTGGGAGAGGTGACCATGTCCCCACGATGCAGCACCCTGGACCCCGCAGCTCAGGGTGCTGTCAGTACCCCCGGATTCAAACACTGCTTCCAGCTTCCGAATGTGGAAGAAATCCCAGAAATCCCCGGATCGGTTGCCCCTTCCCCTGGCTGGGTGGTCGGTGGGGACGTCCTCGCCAGGCCAGCACGCCGACGGCAGCCGGGAGAGCTGGCCACAGAGACTGGCGCTGCGTTGGAGGTGCCCTGAAGCATGGCCGCTGTACTGCGTGTCCCTGGCGTGCGTGGGGCTTCATCTGCCCGTGGCTTGCTAGCAGGCTAATGCAGGAACGTGCTTAAAAAAAGCTGTGGTTAAGCTGTTGCAAGACAGAGTGTTGATGATACCCTTTAACTGGCCTCAGAAAGCCTCCTGGCTGTCTGCACAGCCCAGTCCCCTGCTGCACCGCCTAGGCTGAGGCTTCAAGTCACGTACCTGGATCTTGGAGACATCCACTTTGTGTTAGAAATTCGGATGCCGTTAAGAAAATAAAAAGGCCTGTGGATCTGAGCACGCCATCCAGCTGCCGAGATGTGGCAGCTTCCTGCTTGAGCAAGCATTCGTAATTGAGGGTGGTTTTGTTAAAAAGGCAATTAAAATCTTTCAAATTGAGTACAAAGTTATGATCAAGTGAAGCATAACATAGATTCCTGAGGTTTGAAACAAACCCCGCTGTCTTGGGGTGCTGCGCTGATGCGATCTCAAGGCAGGTACCCCCCGCCAGCAGTCCCTGCCTCAGTTTTTTTCACTTTCTGGTTGTGCAGACCCAGCTCAACACCAGCCCCATCCGCTCTTTGAAGCTGCTCTGCTTCAGAACTTGCTTCTGCTACAGGCTGTGGACTGGTACCGCTTTTCCCCCCAAGTCAGTGGTCCTTAGTAGAGCAGTCTGTTTTCTCTCCTTTCTCTGTGGTTTGGCAGAGGTTTGTACTGTGTGAGAGTCGCGTTCTGCTGAGTCCCTGTGTGCTGTGAGGTCTGATGGAGAAATCCACGTTTCTGCTTGGCTGACCTTGCTGGGGGAGCCCATTGCTAGCCCCTGGTCCTGGGCTTAGCGCAGCCCGGCCGCACCAGCCCTTCCCGGCCTGCTCCCTGGCCAGGTTTGCAGAAGCCCTCTCCTGTGTTGCCTCTTCTGTGTATTTTGGTCTCATAACAGACTGCATATAAAAAGCACTACTATGTCCCTTTTCACACCTCTTTTTTGGTGCTTGCTTACAGCTGGGTGGCTACAGAAAAGTGTTTTGTGCGGGTAGGATGATACATCACGGGGTGGATGCTCTGAGATAGCTGCTGTTGATCTGCCCCTTTGTTTTCCTTATCCGTGTTACCTCTTACCAGAGGCTAAATTGACACCTCCTAGAAGACCATACAGGGGGGTGATGTTCTCCTTCCAGCTGTGTCTATTTAAGTCCTGTTGTAGGAGCTTGGTGTGTGAGGACTTGCATTCCATACGATGGTTTTGGATGTGTATTGGAACTTGCCTTAGGCAAGGCTGTTAAATTGCTTTTCTGGGTAGCCCTCTGCCCAAGGAGGCTGCCTGCCTACTGTGTAACAGTAACGCCCAGATAGCAGCATGCCCTGAGTCTAGAGATGAGATCATTTGTCACTTGGTTTCACTGATCCTTTGATATCCTGCTCACTATTTTTCTAAAATACATTCCTAGTTATGCATAATGTTTCTCTGCTATGTGTTGTTATGTTCTTATTAGTTCAGACTAGCACAGTTAAATAGACATACACACATCCTCTGTTTACACACGGAAATACAGCCTGTATTTATGCTTCAGCAGTCATCCCCTGATGGGTCGCTTGTGTCTTTAGTTTATGTGCATTTGCTGTGTATTCCCTGTTTTAGCTTGTTGTCCCCAGCCTTTCCTCTTGGCTAATTAGGGCCAATTTCTGTAATTTTGCTACCTAGTTCCTGAAGTACTCAGAAGGGCTGTTTTGTTCTTAGAATTGCCTTGAAGCTGACTTAATTCTTGCCAAAAGATAAATTTTAACACTCTTGCTAGTTTTCAAGTGATTGCAGTCAGAATTTCACAAGTGGCTTAAGTCCCTGACAGGGGCACTCCTCCATTTTCCTCCTGGCTGCCTGTTCCCAGCTCTGCAGCGGCTGTAGCGGGCGCACCGTCGATGGTGACAGCTTGTTGGCGTTTCCTGAGGTGAGCAGTCAGTCAGACCCGTGTCCTCGGAGTCAGTCGGACCCGTGCCGGGCCGGCACCCGGAGGTGAGTGGGGGCTGCGTGTGCATAGCTCGGCTGTGCTGAGCCGGGGGCTCACGAGGCAGTTCGGGGCAGGACATGTGCCGTTGCTCACTCCCAGTGTGTTGTGTTGCCCACCTGAAGTCACCTCTGAGCCTGTACCCTTCATCAGGTGCCCACCTGCCCGGTAATCCATGGCAAGCCCTTCGTGTAAGGGACTTGCACGGGCTTGTCCGAGCGATGCAGTGGGGGTTGTGGGATGGCAGGTTTGGGCCAAGCTTGTGTCTCGGGAGGCAGAAGCGCACGTGAGCTTGAGCTGTTTTTGTCTGCTGTACCCTGAGGTGAGCCAGAGCCTCCAAGCGAGAGATTTGGGTGGGTGTGCGTGGGGGATGGTGCTCGTCTGAGACCCCGGGACGAGCGGGGCAGGCTGTGAGCGAGCCTGCTTCTTGCACTGCCTGCGGGACCTGGTGTGGCGAGGGTCCAGGCTGCCTGCAGGCTTTACGTGTTCCCCGGGGTGATCAATACTAGCATTTTTTGCTGTTATGCCTTTGATTTATACTATAAGCAAGTTGCACTGATCAGTGTTTACGCTTTCCAGAAAGTCAGTGTGTGTCTGAAGGAAGTGTGAATGAGTTCTCCTGTTTCTGCCTGGACCATTAGCATTCTGTCAGCTTTTCCATCGTAGCTCCAGAGTGCTTCCCCCATCTCTCATGCTTGAATGCAGCCCCTCAAAAACATATTAACTGGATTCATTCGTTTGGGGTGTTCCTTTTTATTTTTCCTTCCTGCTAGCCAGCTGTTCCGCAGCAGTGAGTGGGACACAGCAGGTTCCCTCTGCACCTTTCAGCGGAGGAGACAGCCTGAGAGATTTATTTGTTTTCAGCCTCTTCCACTTACAGGACCATTTTCTTCTTCTCAAAACTTCCAAGTTTTTGTTTGTTGTTAAATCTGCTTCTCATTTCTCCAGCAACTGTCTTGCTTGAACCACAAATGCTGTGTTTGACACAGCCGTAGCGCTGTAATAACTGCTTGCGCTTGCCAGGCGTAAGAGGGGGTTTCTGCAAAGATCACTGCTTGGCCTGGGTAGGAGAGAACATGCACCGATACTGCAGACGCTGTGGTTTGCTTGTGGGGTAGGACGAGCCGCACGCGTGTGCTGTTCCTCTGTCACCAGCTGCAGAAATGGCTGCTAGATGTTCTGCTTACCCCGCTGCTTTGCTTTGTAGTCCTTGGGGTGTACAAGTCTCGTGAGGCCGCCTTTTGTGCCTGAGCGTCCTTAGGTTGATGTTCAGGGGCATCTGTTCTTTCCTGGCTTTACTCACTGCAGCAGTTTGACAGAAAAGCATGAATTTTTGTAAACTGTTTATGGATCTTTTCCTTCCCTATAGAAAAACCCTCCACAACCTATTAAAATAAACATGCTAGGAGCTGTAATAAGAGGCCTTTCTTATCTCTCAGAAGTTGTGGCCTGATGCTGTCAGTGGGGCTGTCTGGGGAGATGGAGTCAGCTCTCTGGGGAGCAGTTTGATGGTCTGGGCTGTGTTGGTGTACGTGTTACCCACTTGCCTGAAGACATTAACACCCTGGTGTTTGATGGGATCACTGGAGAAGGGACCGAGGACAGCTAAAACCGACACGAAGCTGGTGAACAAGAGCCCAGTGAGTGGCCCAAGGATGTGGCCCGTGAGCCAGAGAAACCTGCTGTGCATCCTGGAAATGTGGAGACTGTCTGGTTGTGTCAGGAGATTGTACTTCTAGGGATTAATTACTGCTTTTTAATTACTGCTTTTCCCCTACAACTCCTTGTTGCTAATCTTTTGTGTTTAGGTTTGCATTGCTGGTTAATCAAATTTCCGAGCAGGTGACTCTGCAGAGCAGCAGGTGCTTTGCATCTGCCTGGCGAGGCCAGGTTTGCACCGGCCAAGCTGAAAAGGGCACCGTCAGCTATTTATCGTGGCAGTAGGTAGCCTTTTGGTTTTGGGTGACAGCACAGGTAAGAAGCTTGAAAACAAAGTCCCTTTCTCTAATAGCACTTGTTGCTGTCTAGGAAAGAGCAGGCAGGGTACGTCTAATTTGTGCCTCCTCTCTCTCTGCCCCGGCCCTATTTTTGGTAGCAAAGCTGAGCTCGGGGGACAGGTGATATTTTAAGAGTCGCAGCCAGGACTCGCTTTCTTTCATGGTCGCTTATCTTTTCCAACTCGTCAGATACATTTATTTTTCAGTAATTTCAATGGAATAATTGTGAAAAATGCAAAGGGCAATTGTAGGGTTTTAGTAATAGCTTAAATGAGGCTTTGCCATCACTGCAGAACCATCGTGGCTTTCACCAAAACACTCCTCCCTCTGAAACGATACGTGGCTCAGACTGGGTGTTGCTTCTTAACTGGCGTTAGCAGCTGGGGAGACAGCGTGCGGATTCTGCAGGTTCCTCTCCTCTGTTGCAGGCTGTTGCCTTTAGAAGGCAGCTCATCTAGAACAAATCTGGGATTCTGGGAAATACAGTTCAGAGTAGTCAGGAAATTAGTCGGACTTACAGAACCACTGGTATTTTGTCTTTTGAATCTTCTTGTAATTCCTCCGAGTTTCCTTAGTCTGTTGTTACATTGGTGACTGACCGTATCTACAATGCCGAATTCCTACAAGGCCAGAATTCGTATGAGTGGTCCCTTGAGAGTGCCCGGTGGGAAGCGCTCACGAACCCAGGCACGTCCCAGGTGCAGGGGGGCCCTTGCTGGATTTCGGAGCGTTGCTCTCTTACTCGCTGTGGCCCAGTAAGATGCTAGTGCACACGATTATTTAAATGATAATTGTGATACTAATAAAACTTTAAAGGAAAAACTGAGATGTGAATTTTTTTCTGTTGTGGGTCTGTTTTTTTTGTCCTTCAGTGCTGTCAGACTTATCAAGGAATATATCAAATGAAAGAAAGTAAAAGGGTTTTGTTTAAAATGGTCACAAACAGTTAAAGTAAGCTCTCTCCAGCAAGCAGTGGTAGCAGAACGATCCCTTAATAAATATTAAAAAGGAAGGATACATTTATTGACCATAAAGCTCCAGGTGAATCAAATATACCTTCAAAATTTAAATTGTGTGATTAGTCTCCTTAGGGAGGAGTGTGGAAATCCTGAGAAATGCAAGTACTGGAACCGTATTTTAGAGGTCAGCATGTATTTGGTGGAGTGGTGCCATGGATCTGTTCTGAAACGTATTATTACGTGTTGGATCTTCACATTTCTCACATAAACAAAGGGAATCAGTCTTTGGCATGTTTGAAAATTTGGTAAAGGATCAGTTACAGTTTTGCTTAATAGGGTGTTAATTTAATGTTTAATCTCTTTTCTGACTATCTTACTGTGAAGTGAATGGGGTCTGCTAGACAAACCCGGGCTTCAGACTCCAGATTGTGCCAGAGCGGCTCCTCTTGAGCATGCTGGGTGTCTGGTCTGGTTGTCTGTCCCGGGGGTCTCCTCCAAGGGGGGCAGATGAGAGGAGGGCATTTTTCTTTCAAAAGAACTTTTTGGCATAAGTGTTCAGCTGTTGCAGTTATTTATACTGACTGGCTACCTGGAAGCAGGAATATGAAGGACTGGGTAACCATTTAATTACATGGCATTTTATGGCAACTGGTATTCAGCTTTATAAACGAACTGTTCTCTTCTGTATGGCAGAAAAAGGTTTTTATAGCCGGCAAGCTGCTTGTAATATTCTGAGCATTATTGAAGTAAGCTGCAGTTGTCGTATACTGCACATTATAATGGTGAGTGGGTTTCCAGTAGTATGTCTTGGGGGAGGATATTATTTCAAAATGTCTGTTCACGTACGGATGAAGTGTGAGTCTTTTCACCCAGATCAGAATGGCATTCACAGAAAAAGCCCCTGCACCATCATCCCAGCAAGTTCCTTATGAGTAATAACGTATTGAGAAATTTCATAAAATTCAGCGGGGATTTAGCAAAAAATCAAAAAAGCATGAATTGCTGTTTGTCACCTCCTGACTTTACATTTATAAACTGAAGTTGTTCTTGTCTTGATCAGTTTTTTAGGCTTCCCGTTAAGCATCTCGCTTTACAGGTCAGAAAGCTGTGAAGCAGCAAGGCTGAAAGGATGTCGTGACGATGAGCGTTGCGACAGGCAGCGGTGTTGCAAGGCTGTTAGGGGTGCCAAAAGGCCTGGCCGCTTCTCGGTGCGGTGCCGGAGCAGCGTGGTGTGCATGGCCCCGGGGCAGCTGCATGGGAACCAGCGCAGCTGCCTGCAGACAGACGTTTGCGTAGTGAAGGGATTTCAGAAAAGAGCTGTGGGAATGGCTGGGGAAATGCAAATTGAACTGTTATATTTGCATTAAATAATTAGGCAGCAACTGCAAGGAGCGTAAGCGCTGTACCTGCTGGTATTTAAAAAAAATGTAAAAAAGACCTAGGATAAACATAGCTGGGAAGACGTTTGTCTCCTTTGTTGGGCTGAATTAATAGATATGCTGTTGGTCTGGTGTTAAAATGCAAATAAATATCCCAGGGTGAAACACACTAAGAGCATTGGATTAGATGAGGAAGAAAATTAAGAGATGGAAACAGAACAAAGCAGTCAGTAGTGGAAAGCAGGTGGCTGCAGACAGGATCTCGGGGACAGCAGTGAAGCTGTAGCCTCTGGAACTATTGGATATTATGAATTATTCCTCTCACCTTTGACCTTCCTGAAAGGATGACTTGAAGTCTGCAGAGAGGATGACCTTCCCTTGGTCGAGGAGGACTGCGTGAGGGATTGCTTAAGCGATCTGGACACCCACAAATCCATGGGCCCCGATGGAATGCACCCACGAGTGCTGAGGGAGCTGGCGGATGTCATTGCTGAGCCACTCTCCATCATCTTTGAGAGGTCCTGGAGGACAGGAGAGGTGCCCGAGGACTGGAGAAAGGCCAATGTCACACCGATCTTCAAAAAGGGCAAGAAGGAGGACCCAGGGAACTACAGGCCGGTCAGCCTCACCTCCATCCCGGGAAAGGTGATGGAGCAGCTTATCCTGGAGGCCATCATCAAGCAAGTGGAAGAAAAGAAGGTTATCAGGAATAGTCAGCATGGATTCACCAAGGGGAAATCATGCCTGACCAACCTGATAGCTTTCTATGATGACATGACTGGCTGGGTAGACGAAGGGAGAGCTGTGGATGTTGTCTACCTTGACTTCAGCAAGGCTTTCGACACAGTCTCCCATGATATCCTCCTAGGGAAGCTGAGGAAGTGTGGGCTGGATGAGTGGTCGGTGAAGTGGATAGAGAACTGGCTGAATGGCAGAACTCAGAGGGTTGTCATCAGCGGCGCTGAGTCTAGTTGGAGGCTGGTGACAAGTGGTGTCCCTCAGGGGTCAGTACTGGGCCCAGTCTTGTTTAACTTCTTCATCAACGACCTGGATGAAGAGTTAGAATGTACCCTCAGCAAGTTTGCTGACGACACCAAACTGGGAGGTGTGGTAGATACACCGGAAGGCTGTGCTGCCATTCAGCGTGACCTGGATAGGCTGGAAAGCTGGGCAGAGAGGAACCTGATGAGGTTCAACAAGGGCAAGTGCAGGGTCCTGCACCTGGGGAGGAACAACCCCATGCATCAGTACAGGCTTGG